TTGCAGGGTTTTGTTCATGTGTTTAGATTTTAAACAAGAACCCATTATCTTTACTAATTATAATAGAAAAAACCTTCCATGGCTTCCCAGTATCCTAGCAACAATGTGCAAATCCTTGCCTCATGTGCAATCCCAGCAGGCTAGGCTCATCTCTCCAACTACATCTCAAACCACCCGCCTCTCAACACGGCATCCAGCTTCATGTAACACAAATATTCCAACATCTCTCCAACTTCAGGGCTGGGCACCTGCTGCTCCTTCAAGCCCAGAAGGATCTCTCCCCTTCTCCCTGCTTGGCCACTCCTTATGCTTCAGGTATAAACTTCACTTCTTCAAAGGGGCCCTCCAAAAGCTACTCTTTCTTAAGGAGCCCCGTACCTGCTGCAAGCTGTTTTCCATCTCATCATCTTGCTTATTTCCATCATCACCTAAAGTCTCCATGAAATAAGTACCTTGTATGTCTTATGCCTTGATTTGATTAGATTCTTTACCTACCTGGCACACAGAATTCAATAAATTACAGGTCAGTCTCACTCAAGAGCACTAATACAAAAATCCTAAATAAAATATTAAATTTAAAAATGTATAAAGAGAACAATATATAAGGACCAAATTGGGTCTATCCTAGGAATGCAAGGGTGTTTTTACATTACAAAATCATCTAGTATAATTTTTCCACCATCAGATTTGAGGAAAAAACAATATGATTATCTCAATGAAGAAAAAGCATTTGATTAAAACATCCCATTCATGATTCAAAATTAAGAATTAGCAAATTGGCCGGGTGTGGTGGCTCACACCTTTAATCCCAGCACTCTGAGAGGCCAATCATGAGGTCATGATTGCCCAGGCTGTAGTGCAATGGCACGATCTTGGCTCACTACAACCTCTGCCTCCCAGGTTCAAGGGATTCTCCTGCCTTAGCCTCCTGAATAGCTGGAATTACAGGCACCTGTCATCATGCCTGGCTAATTTTTTTATTTTTAGTAGGGAAGGGGTTTCGTCATGTTGGCCAGGCTGGTCTTGAACTCCTGACCTTATGCTCCATCATAAGAGCAGTTATAGCGAAACAAGAAGCTGTGGGATTAGGATGAGGTGGGTGGGAGGCTTGGAGAAATTGGAAAAGTCCATTTCTAGACCCCAGGTCGAAGAGGATAAGGACAGAGGGTCTTCATCACTTGCCAGGTCCCAACCTGTGTGGCCACATTCTAAACTACATCCCACCCTTGGTGACCTGTGGCAGGACAGGCAACTGCAGAGTACTAGTAGCCAGGGGACCTCTGCTTTCCCCTTTCCTGCTCCCTAGCAAGCTGGGCACCCTCCTCAAGGACTTAACCTCTCTGGTCACAAGCCTCTCTTTCCCCCACGTCACAGAATAGGCTCGTCAAAAGGCCGAGGACTAGCAGTCTGAAGAAATGATATAAACAAGGGCAGGGACACAGTCAGTCCGGTACCCAGTGTCATGCTGTACCTACCGAATGAATAAGACTAAGTTAGCTTCAGCACACTTATTTATAAAAAGTAGGAAAGGTAATCACCTGCCAACCCTAACTGGTTCCTCTCACAATCAAACGTAATGGGTGGGACAAGCTATACCAGTGGATTGACATCACTACTATCTAATAACGTAACAAAAATGTCAGTGTGAGACAGAGTATTAGAAGGAAAGTGTCATTCAGCAAGGTTTAGTGAGTAAACTAGATTAGCAATTTCACATTCACTGAGTGAATTCACATCCACTGTGGCATCTAGTCCACCCTTTAAGTGTAAATTCCACTATGAATACTTAAAGCATATCATTTCATCATTTGTTCTGAACCTCTGTTTCTTCAACTGTAAAAAGACAATGTGGGCGAGGTGTGGTGGCTCATGCCTGCAATCCCAACACTTTGGAAGGCTGAGGTGGGTGGATCACCTGAGGTCAGTTCAAGAGCAGCCTGGCCAACATAGTGAAATCCATCTCTACGAAAAATATAAAAATTAGCCAGGCGGGGTGGCACGTGCCTGGATCCCAGCTACTGGGGAGGCCAAGGCAGGAGAATCACTTGAACCTGGGAGGCAGAGGTCAAAGTGGTACTACTGCACTCCAGAGCCGAGGTGGTGCTACTGCACTCCAGCCTGGGTGGCAGGGCAAGACTCTGTCTCAAAAACAAACAAAAAAGGGAATGTGCTACATCTCTTCTGTTTGTCCCCTCCAAATCCACCCTACCCTCACCTCCCTGTCCTGTGTCCCTGAGTATTGACCCCATGTACAGGTTTCCTGGCTCTCCAGCTTCCAGATGGGTCTGCCCAGCAGGAGGCACCAGCAGAAGTTTGGTGGGAGGAAGAGAGGGAGGTCAGGGTATTTCTTCCCCCATCCCAATCCTTGACAGGAAACTGGGGCTGCATCCCTTGAACAAAGTTATCAGCAGCTCTCAGGTACCCTCTCCACAAAACTATTCAGATCACTCCCTTCACCCCTTCTGGCCCAAAGATACACAACACATTCTAGCCAGGGATAATATACCTTCACTCCTTATTTCCCTACCCACACCTTTACAAACACCCTTTACTGACTTTCTCTCAAATCATCCTAATTTGAATGTGCCACCTATTTCCTGCTGAGATCCTGGATTATACAATAGATACCACCACCTCATAAGGTTACAAATGAGAGATCATGTTATGACTAGGTGCCAGGCACTGGGCTATAGTTACAGCTACGACAATTACATTATGCAGAAATTGTTGCTCCTAATCTGCAGATGAGGAAGCCGAGGCTCAGAGAAATTACAAAATTTGCACAAGCACATACAAAAGTGGAACAGCTAGAACAGAGGGCTTAACCTCCAGAATCAGAAACCTTTCCATTTCTATTATCACCGTAGCGGTCAATATTTTTCCTACAAGTTTCATCACCGCCATCATTCCTACATAACAAAATAAGATTCTCTTGCGAACGAGAGTTTATATTTCTACTGTTGGACGCGTGGTTAAGAGCGGGAGTTCTAGAGTGGGATCAAAGTACAAGGCCTGACTTGCAGGAAAGTGTTATCTTGAGCAAGAGACTTTCCTCCACGAGTCTCAGTTTCCTCCAGTAAAATGGGGATAAGGTAGCAGGGCTTCCTTCACCGGGTCTGGCGAGGATTCAGTGGGATGACGTTTGCAAAGCACCAGGCACGCAGTAAGCACTCAAATGACAGGAACTACTGTGATGAAAGCGGGTTTGCAGCCTTGGCGGCTTTATGGCCGCTGAGGACTAGGAAGGCGGGCCGGGACCTGGGAACCTGAGAACCTGAAGGACTTGAAGGAAGGTGCCCGCTGCCCACCCCCTCCAGCCCACCTGCTCCTCAAGCCTCTCAATCTCCAGCTGGTTCTTCTCCTCCTCTTCATCATATTCCCACTCGTACTCCCCAGGGGAGCTCTCCGCAGAGGAAGCCATGGCGTACTCATCCCCATCGCTCTCGCTCACGCCTTCCTCCTGCTGATCCCACCCTGGCCCCATGGTCTTGTACGTGGCAGCGGCCACAGCCCGCGATAACACCTTCCTCCTTGTCCTAGCCGCCTTAACCTCATCCTCCTCTCCGTCAGCCTTAGGCCCAGACTTGGGCTCAGCCTCGGGTTCTGAAGCCGAGGATGCGGCCGCCGTCGCCATCTTGCGCTTCTAGTGACTCTTGGGTCTTCCCGCGGCAGCCGAAGACCCGCTGAGGCAGAAGCTGCCCGCGGCGTGCGCCTGATCAAAAGCCCCCTTTCTGCCATTGAAAGGGAAACCGGGAACCTCAGATAACGGAAAAATCTCCGAATGCACTAAATTCATATTATTATTATATCCTTGCAAAAGTTCCCATCATAGAAAAAAACTCAATAACATGGCATGCGTTCCGCCACAATTTCGGACAGAAGTTGGGTCTTTGGACAGGAAGTGGAGGCCATAGAGGAAGTCATGGAGCGAGAGTGATGTCTGTAGTGAAGAATTTGGCGCCATCTTGAGAAGGTCACAGTGATTCTTAAAATAAATGCCTTACTTACCGCCTAGTGTGACCTGGCGCCTGGATTTAGTCTCCCCAGCAACTGCGCCTCAAACGGAAAGAAAACTGCAAGTCCTCGAGGAAGGATCGATTGCACCATTCAAGAGAATACTCCATTTCCCAAAAAGATTCCTCCCCTTTATGTAAACGCCTGGTACCTAGCAGGCGTTAAAATACACGTGCGTTTTTTGGTTTTATAAGATCACATACTGCAAACCAACAGTAAATGATTACATTAATAAGCACTTCTTTAGAAATTCTTAGTTGCTAGGCACTGACATATAAATTGAGTTTGCTGTTGTTTTAGAGAGAAACATAGACATATATTCATTTTTTTTTCAATCAGGATATGATATTTGTTTCCTTCTTAAGCTTCCCATGTTTGAGGTAGGAAAGTATTGATGTGTGTGTCTATCTCCATCTACCTTGCTCCCTCATTAGCAAGTTTAATTATGTCTGTTTTGCTTTCCGTTGGATCCCCAGGTCTAGCAGAGCGCCTTGACACATAGTAAGTACCCGACACAGGTGCTGACTTCATGATGAAAGAGTTGTCCTCGAATCAATACAAAAGGGAAGGTTCAGGCTCAGCGAGCTGGTACCACTCGTCTAGGGACACACAGCCAGGAAGGAACCAAACCAGGATTCTAAATCCAGGATTACCCAAGTTCTAACTGAACCTAAGTCCCTGAGCGACCCTGGACGAGTGACAAAACGGCCCTAAATCTCAGCTTCCTTAGCTTCAAAATACGGTTAGGAAAAGTGGACTGGGTGGTCCTCTGCGCCGCATTCCAGCAGCGGGCTTTGTGAAAACGAACTTGAGCCCCCCACTGCGGCAGCCCGAGGTCCTCACAACCAGAATCAAGCACCCAAGACAAGACCTCCAGCGACTTCAGACCTTCCAGCTCCCGACCCCGCCCGCCCCGAGAGGCGTGGTCAAGGCGGGGTCAGAGCAAAAACGCTTGCACTGAACTGTAGGGCGCAGGCGCAAAGCCTTGGTGACTTCAGAGGCGCGTTCCCAGCTCGGAGCCAACTGGCAGGCGCGCCCCGCCCCTTGGCTTTGCTCTGGACCAGCGCAGGCGAAGGCTCAGGCTGGCAAGATGGCGGCGGCTGGAGCGGGCCGTCTGAGGCGGGCAGCGTCTGCCCTGCTGCTCCGGAGCCCCCGCCTGCCTGCCCGGGAGCTGTCGGCCCCGGCCCGGCTCTATCACAAGAAGGTAGGGACGAACGAGGGGATGCGCGGAACTCCGACTCGGCGGAGGCCCGGGCTGGCAGGGCGGCCGCGGGGCTCTGCGCAGCCAGGACTAGGGGCTGTCCCCTCCCACGTCTCTGTCCTGACTCACTTTCCCTTGCTGCGCAGAGAGGCTGACCGCAACTGATAAACAACAGTTACCGTTCCTCGGGCGGCGACTTGTAGGGGGCCCTGCCGCTGACCGCGACTTCGTGCGTCCCAACTTTAAATTCTCCAACAGCCCAGGAGGCAGGGTCCTGTTGAGACTTGAGTTTCTGAGTCCGGCGACAGACACACCTCCGAAGCGGGCTCCGTCTTCAGCCACTCTGCTGCCCTGGCCAGTGGCCTTGAGCTAGTCACTGCGCCTCTCTGAACCTGTTAACCCAGGTGTAAATGGGGGGGCTCTCAGCTGTCCCTTGCGGAAGATATTGTACTCGGAGTCCTGGCACAATGGCCCTAGCACAAGGAGATCGTTTCTGTTACTGTTTTAGGAGTGCATGGGGGGTCAGGCTTGTAACCAACGTGCGTAATGTTTTTGTTTTGTGTTGGATGGTTTTTTGGCGGAGAAGCAGGGATTGATGCATAGTTTACAGCCCCTTGCCGACTGGTGGCGCAAAGTCCCCCAGACGTGAGACTTTCACTAGAGAAACAAAGAATGCTGTAAATCAACCTGGCACAAAAAGCCCCCGGATAAGATACTGTCCTGTAGGTCCTTGTGCTTGGAGTCAAAATCTGTAGTCAGATGGGGAGGGAAAGGGAACTGGAGGATCGGGGTACTTACTACTAGCCAGTAACCAAACCTCAAGGTTATTCAGGCCTTCTGTGTGACTGTTTAAGTGGATGTTTATCCTGGTCTCGTTTCTGCCCTTTCGCCAAGGCCTTCACTCCTCCCCCACCCGGGGGTGTGTTCTGTTGAGGGTACACCCTGAAGAAACTTGGACAAGCAGCCTGTCAGCATCCAGGGTGCGCTGCTGCACCAGGGTGATGACAGACTCTGAAATACAGTAATGGCACTGTTTTTATTTTAAAAGACACGTAAACATACACATTCCATAGCATTGTTCCTCTGTAACAGTCACCTTGAGGCTTCTAAGAAAGCTTTCCCTCCCTGGGCCATAGTTATTTTTAGAGTTTTTAAATAGTAATCATCTTTTGAGGATTGGCTTTATTTGAAAATAACAAAACTGCTGTTTGAGTTCAAGTCTGGTGACGTAAGTGGGCAGAAGTCAAGTATCTGTAAAAACCCTATGGAACTAAGACATGATTTCGCCGATTTTTTTTCTAGGTATTTGAGATCTGTGAAGTAATTGTAGAGGAGACACAAAAGGAGTTGGGGTCACAAATGGTTCTCATTGACATGAGTGTAGAGCTTTCTACTCAGGTGAAATTTGGTATTTAGTGATTGCCTGCCGGGTTCAAGTTGCTGACTTCGAGGAGCTTACCATCAAACCAGAGAGACCAGTACCAGTGGAGAGTGAACGTGACTTCTCTTAACCCTCTCATTTTAGGTTGTTGATCATTATGAAAATCCTAGAAACGTGGGGTCCCTTGACAAGACATCTAAAAATGTCGGAACTGGATTGGTCGGGGCTCCAGCATGTGGTGATGTAATGAAATTACAGGTATGGCTAGTCTTTAATAGTAATAACAATCCCTTGGTTTACAAAACACTTGCACATACAGCATTTCATTTGGTCTCCATCTTTATTCCTATGAGATGGGATGTGTCCGCATTATACATGATTAGAGCAGGGCTCAATCGTGGCTCTCCTGCTAGACTAATATACAGGATGCCGACTTTTTCTGAAATAGGAAAGTAATGTCATTTTTTTACTCACTGTAACAGTTTAAATTCCAGCTTCAGCCAACTAAAGAGTTTTGTGAATTTTACTGATCAAAGCAAAATCCCAGTGATCTAGCAGTCCCCAGTGAGACAAGAAACACAGTAAATTAAACCGGTCCCCAGACTAGGGGCAACATGAAGATAGTGTTTAGAGCTTTGGGGAAACTGTAGCTGTAGCGCTACTCTGCTGCTTCACAGTGAGTGGGCAGCTTGCCAGAGGTCTTCATACCTGTCTTGGAATACAGAAACAAAGCAGGAGGAAACCTCTAAGTATAATCTGCTGCCCAAGAAAAAAGTATTAACTAGAGACCTTTTCTGTGGACTCTCTCAGTGTTTAAAGGGGCAGATTGCCCCAGTAGCTGTGAGCAGACTTCCTCAAATAGAAGTTCATAGTCAAAATGCAGGCCAGGGTTGCAAAACAAAACAAAATTGGGGTGGAGAAACATATTTTTCAGCTGATCTTTGGCTGTTGGACCTGGATAGTTGTTCCTACATTTCACTTTTCATCACTGAGCCCTTTGAAACAAGGCAAAATCGGTAATGAATGCCATCACCTAATGTAGAAAGCAAGCCCAAAACCCTTGGCCCCAGTTAACCTGCATGAGTGCCAGGTTCCAGACGGTGGCCCCAAAACTCCCCATTTAACCCTTGTCTCTTCTAGATTCAAGTGGATGAAAAGGGGAAGATTGTGGATGCTAGGTTTAAAACATTTGGCTGTGGTTCTGCAATTGCCTCCAGCTCATTAGCCACTGAATGGGTGAAAGGAAAGACGGTAAGGTTGCTCACAAATCTGACAGAATGAAATTGCATTGGCCCCAAGCCTGTCTCTCGAAGGGTCTAATGGGTCAAAAACAAGCAATCATGGGTTTTTTTTCATATTCTAATTTTTTTTTAATTTCTCCTACCCAGATGTTGATTATATTATCAATTCTTCAAACTGGGAATTATAGATCTTTCTACTAGGTGTCAGGATTTTTTTGTTGTTGATCATTTTTATTTGTTAGTTTGGGTGTGTTCTGTTAATTACATACAGAAAAGACCCTCACCTGTCCCTCTAACAAAATGAATTTAAAAGAAACGTCTGGCTTTCTCTCAGGTTACTGATGCTCTTATAATTTCTCAAGTCAGAGAGTTGTTGTATGATAATTATTTTCTTGTTTATGTCCTCTCATCATGTTACAGGAAAGATTCTAGGTGGCTTACAGGAAATGGTGAAATAAACTAGCCTGTGTTAAAAAAGAGATCAAAGAATCAAAAATACGGCAAGGGTGGGAGCAAAATGAACAACGAAATCAGAACAGTGATCCAAGTGGCTGATCGCAGGTCCTCTAAAGGCAGAGATAATAAAGAGCTAGAACTTCTTTTCTATCCCTTTCTCTCCCAAGTGTCTTTCCCCAGTAGCTGCAGAGGTAAAAGTTCCCAAACTCAGTGAAGAGTTGGACTTTCTAAAATCCAGTTGCTGTCAAAACTTCTCAGATAAGCCAACCGGCAGGGCATTCATCTTTGCTGCCCCAGGGGACCCAGTTTAAGGAGCTGAGTCATGGAGGAGCATGCTTGGGAGCTGGCCAGCTCCACAGCAGAGCGGTTTGCCAGGCCACGTGCCACCTGCTTCCTATGGCTCAAGGCCTGGCTGGCAAGTTCCTCTGGGCCAGGAAGCTCAGACCTAACCTGCTCTGGCAGGAGGTAGCTCTGAAGGGATTTGTCAGGAACTGTCCTTAGGGGAAAGGAGAAATGAGACAAGGCACCTATGCTCCCAGAACCTGTCCCATAGGGGACTGTGAACTGTGATCAGAAAATGGGAGAGAGGACGTTTCTTTAACCTTAAGATCTCCCATATGAGTTTCAGGAGCAGAACTTGAATCAACCAAGAGGGGTTAGCAGAATTGGGAAATTGGGGGATAGTCAGACATAGCCAGGGAGTCCGGCTGTTGGAAGATCTGGCTTTCTCTAAAGCAATGGGGCTCTGTTCCACATTGGCGAGGACCCACCTGCCTCACATCATCCCCCAGGGCTGTCAGCCAGACCCCGGGCATCCACTTCAGTTGATATGGAGGAGATGCCCCAAAGAAAGCGCTCAGCCTGACCCGGCTATACCACTGCCACAGTGCCACTTACCTGACATCTTCCCAACCTCTCTGATGCCATTTGGCACTTCAAGTCAAAAGGATTTATTCTAACATTTCATATGGAATGTTAGGACATCAGAGAAGCTGATATTCACAAAACCAGCATAGGAAATCACTACCTTTTAAGGAAAAGATTCCTGTTATAGGCCACAAGCAGATCCCTAAGAGACTTCTTACAGGTTCCTTCCTGGCTTATAGAAGTGTCTGGGCTGTCTTTGCTTACCCAGGCCAGGCAGTGTAGCTGTGTATACTTCATACTTGAGAATCCCAGCTGCAGCTTTGATACAGTGGGAGTCCTGAGAAGACCCTTAGCCCTTTGTTTGAGTTGTTAAACAGAAATCATCCCCACCAACCCTGAGGGCCTCTTTGGCCTCCCTTTTTTATTGTCTGGGGCTCGCAAGATAAAGCTTTGCTAAAACTGCCCATCTTTCCATTATGCCTCTCAGGTGGAGGAAGCCTTGACTATCAAAAATACAGATATCGCCAAGGAGCTCTGCCTTCCTCCTGTGAAACTGCACTGCTCCAGTAAGTCTGCTCTCAGTGCCAGCCAGCTGGGACACTTGGCACTAATTTTGGCTTGAATTTGCAACAGTCCTTTTAGGTCATGGAGCCCATCTTTATAACCCTCAGAATTAGAGCTCATGAGTCTGTCCTTATAACCTCAGAGGGTTAGAGCCCCCATGGTCTCACATTCATCTCTAAGGGAATCATGCCAGAAGGAGGTATGTACCAGCCATCATACTAAGCACTTGATGGGTATAATTTCTAAACCTCCGAAATATCCCTGAGTGCACAGTAGGTGTCATTACTTCCCTCTTGCGGATGAAGAAGCTGAGGCTTGGGTTGAGACACCCACATCACATGGCCAATAAGTGGGAGAGCCAGAATTTAAGCTCTGATCTTTGATCCCAGAATCTGCTATTTCCAGCAAAGGAGAAGACTCAGCTTTCTGCATAATCCTGTTCCTGTGTATTTCATCACTTCCTGTCTGGAAGCTATTTCTGTTGGAGTCTGTTTCTGTCTATATGGAACAGCTAAGCCCAGTGGTACAATGTTCCCCTCTCTGCTATCCTTAAAAAAAGCCCAGATGCCGTAAGACTTGTACTTGGCTTTCCAGTTGGGTCTCTCTATTACGTCTAATTGGGTTTTTTTTTTAATCATTTCTTAACTTTCTCACGGAAAGAAGGAATGAGAAACAGCCTTAATGCATCAATGGAGGTTTGCTAACTAAATTAGTTAAAAATCAGCAGAGAGGCCTCTTGCCAGGGTAATACTCACAGGAGAAGAGCCAGGTGCTGGGGTAGACACGCTAACTCATTCTTCAGGAAGCCTGGTCAGACCCAAGTTCTTTCCACTTGATCTGGAATTTTAAGTACCCATAAAGAAACATCGCTTGTAAACATTTTCGTGTGGTTTCAGGAAAATCCCAGCCCTTTTATTAGGCCTTTTTAGATACTGAAACCTTTAGCTGATGTTCTCTGCTATTTGCTTGCTTTCTGCTGTCCTTCCAGCTCCCTTTTTATTTTCCCTATAGCCTCACTTTGAATATTGACTCCTAAATAAAAGTGGTCAAACTCTCGATCACTAGAGGGTGATATGGCAAATGCCATCCCATCAACAGATTGACATGATCTTTTTCCAAAGGACATGTCAACTTTTTAACATAACATGATTTTGTCCAAAGCCAGACTTTAATGGGAGCAGGTGAGAACTAACATTTGCTGTGTCCCTAATATGTCAGACATCTTCTCTAAGTCCCCACACTATCCTAGCAAGAAAAGCGTGATTATCCCAGTTCTATAGAAAGGTTTGAAGAGGCTAAGGAATTAGCCTGGGATCACAGATATTTAAACCCTAGTCTGTCTCCAGGATCACCCACAGGAGTAACTCCGCTCAGGAGGCAGCTCCTGACCTGCCCGGCTATTCCTCTCCCCAGCTTTCTGGCTTGGTTACCCCGTTAGTCCCTACCAGCACCACTGCCTCCCAGCTCTTAAAGATTGTATTCCCAAGACCATTTCTTCTGCATCTAGAAACTAAGGCCGCTTTCCTTATATTACTTCTAGTGCTGGCTGAAGATGCAATCAAGGCCGCCCTGGCTGATTACAAATTGAAACAAGAACCCAAAAAAGGAGAGGCAGAGAAGAAATGAGCCCTCCCTGGGCGAAGCCTCCAGCAGGCTATACCAGCTGTTTCCCACCTGCTGTGCAATCACCTTAGATGTTGAGAAGCCGCTCCCTCTACACTGAAGAGCTATGAGATACGCACAATACTTTCTGTTCATGTTATGACTTATGTAAGCAAAATACACAGTTTCATTGTTCTGAATCCATGGTTTCTTTCAGCCCACTCTTACCGCCTTAACCTAGTTAATGTATATTTTGAATTGTGTGTATGGCCTCAGAACTGAAATTGATAATGAAGTCTCAAGTTTTGATAGCCCGTGAAGTGCATAAATATGTTAATTTTACCTGAATTGATTTGGGGGGAAATTACCAGTAGAATGCCCTGGTCTGATTATTTGATAGAACCAATTGTTGTACATAAAACAGATCTGCATATATATATATATAAAATAATAAAATAATGGAATGATGATGGTGTTCTCTAGTAAGCCTTGTCTCTTGGGCCCATCATTCACTCCAAAGTGGTACCCAAAGCCCCTTAGAGTTCCCAAAGTCTGGACTGCAATGGCATACACAGCTCTAAGCAAACAACAGTAAAGGTCATGGACGAGATTTTTTCCAAAGACAAATATATGTGATTTTTTTTGGAAAAAGGATGAAAGGAGATGATTATCACTTTTCATTGTTCTTTGTGCGATAATAGTCGGCCACTCAAAGTGAGTCTTGATGATTCTGTTTATAATTTCACTAGTTGCTGAAATCTAAGACGCACTGGTTTAGCACCCTAAAGTGGTGGACCAGATACATCAAGAGCATCTGCGGAATGAGTTTACAAGGCAGATTTCTAGGCCCACAGTTCTGACTTCTGTCTGGGCAGATGACTCTAGAGCCCCTAATATTTAAGAACCTCCTGGGTCTTTTGCGGTCACAAGTGAGCCAAACTTTAGGGAATAAACTTCCGAATGTTCTGCTCTGCACAGCTGTAGTATTCAAGTGGTTCATTCTGAACTGTCTGTACCTGCACAGTGTACTTAAGGTTGTTTAAAAAAGATTCATCCCTGGCTGGGGCATAAATGAGTCTAATCATGTCCCTCCTACCCTGATGTCTCCCTATTCTTGGCTATCCTTAGTCATGCAAATCTCAATAAGGACGCCCTATCTTCTAGTGAAAATGGGTTATTGAGATATTGACTACCACCGTCTCAAATGTTCAAAAGTAAAATGTTTGTTTTTTCTGGTGGTGGCTTTTTTGTTCAGGCGTAGGCTGGCTGCCTCTTCTCTTAAATATACCTCCTTTTTTTTTTCTTTTATGCTCTGGGTTCTGGTTGAGGGCACAGAACTTCAAAGACTGTTCCCTCTGTAGTCAGTCTGTGAAGGCAGCCACAGACAGGGCCTTTATAGGAATCCCAAATTAGAACCCTGGGTAGAACCATGTAAAATTGTCCTGTGTGGCGCGTTCTGCTATTTAATCCACAGTCCCTCTAGGCTGAGCTTGTCTCTCCCTCCTTTTATTGCATGTGGCACCACCACAATTCCCCACCACTTTTCTTTGTGATTTTTTTGTAATGAGACATTTCTGTTCCCGTTAACGTCCTCAGAGTTGAACATCAGGAAGAGCTTGTAAACAACCAAAGCAATATTCCCAGGGTAGCCCACGCCTTCAGATGTGGTTGCACTGTTAAAATGAATGGATATTTTTTTAAATTCACATTAAGACACCTTTCCCCAAACAAATCTAGTTTGAGCCACACGAGGGCATCATGTGCCCTTCAGTGAACTCAAGTCTAGGGATTTTTGCAGCTTCGAAATAGGCCTTAGCATCTCTAAATAAATTCCTCCATGGAAGACCTCAACAGACCAGTTAAAATTGTCTGTCAAGCACCCTTGCTCCGTGCCAAGCCCTTATATTTGTAATCCTGTTAATTCTCATGACGGCCCCCCTGCGGTGGGCATTGTTTCAAACAAGGACGCTGGCTCAAGAGGCCAACTGACTCTCAAGCCAGCTGGCTTGACTTGGGTGACCCAAAGCCCATTCTTCTGCCTCATCCCTCCTGGCAGATCACACGAGGGATTCTAAGTGCACATCAGAGGCTCACATGTGCCTTGAACATTCAGTGAAGAAGCTGAACCAACACAGGTTGAGCCTGATGCATTCATTTGGCCAACTTGCTGCCCTCGTGCCAACCCTGGCTTCCACCAGGAGCCTAATTAAATCCTGATGCCAAGTTAAATCCAATGCTCTGGAGGTGGGGCCTGGGCACTGGCATTACCTGATGGGCTGGGTGGGTTTATGGTGGGTGGGTGGATGGATGGATGGATGGGGAAGCAGAGGTTCCGAGAGGTGAAATGACTTGCCTCAAGGCACACAGCTAGGAAATGGTAGAATCGAGCTCTGGCTGAGGTTTTCTGCCCACCTCCACCCCCTCCTGGGTGCCACACTACGGATATGACCACATCTCTTTTTTTTTTTTTTTTTTTTTTTTTTTTTTTTTTTCTTTTTTTTTTTTTTTTTTTTTTTTTTTTTTTTTTTTTTTTTTTGAGACGGAATTTTGCTTTTGCCCTGGCTGGAGTGCAATGGCACTATCTTGGCTCACCGCAAACTCCACCTCCTGGGTTCAACCAATTCTGCCTCAGCCTCCCAGGTAGCTGGGATTACAGACATGCACTACCATACCCTGCTAATTTTTCCATTTTTAGTAGAGATGAGGTTTCTCCATATTGGTCAGGCTGATCTTGAACTCCCGACCTCAGGTGATCCACCCATCCCAGCCTCCCAAAGTTCTGGGATTACAGGCGTGAACCACCATGCTCAGCCGATATGACCATGTCTCTAATGTAACGTTTCCTAAGTGTGATTCTTGGACCGGGGCCACCTGGGACCACATCCAAATACACAGTTTTAGAACCTCACATTAAGCATTGTCCTGTAAAAACGACTTGTCTCTTTTTCTTAAAAAGATAAGAAAATGAGGCTCACTTCTCTATACTTTAGGCCCCTTAAACTTGAGGCAAGAGTGCAGACCTTGTATCTATCCTCATAACAGCAGAGAAGACTTCTAGGTCCCACCAAGTTTTGGTGGCATTAGAGGGCCCCTACAGATGAGTTCCAGCCCCAACCAAAGATAGACGTGGAGCATGTCCCCTGCCAATGGCTCTTTGTGGCCTGTCTGCTTGCTTTCCCCGCCCTCTGAGATGACATCAGCCAGACCCTCAAAAGGCAACCTCCCTGGAGAAGATCATCTCCACCCAGGGAGGAAGCAGCAGGGCAGAATGGAGTGAGCTTAGAGCGCTGACTCAAATGCTGGCCACCACTGTGTGACCCCGAGCAAAAGACTCAACCTCCCCAAGCCTCAGTTTATTCATCTGCAAAATGGGAACGATAATAGTACCTACCTAATCAGGTAGAGGTGATGATTAAATGAGATAATACATGGAAAGCACATGGCACATAAAGAGTGCATTGTTGGCCAGGTGCAGTGGCTCATGCCTGTAATCCCAGCACCTTAGGAGGCCAAGGTAGGAGGATTGCTTGAGCTCAGCAGTCTGAGACCAGCCTGTGAGGCAGGATAGGGAGTCAAGGAAGTGACCATGTCCTCGAAGTGCAGCATCCGTGGTGACCATTCAGTCAACACAATAAGCCCCAGCATTCGTATTGTAATTGACTTCACTCAAGCAAAACTATCTTCAGAAAGGACTTTTCCCTCCAGAGAGCATGCGCACTTTGATTTTACCGGTCCTCAAACTGACTCTTTGCTCACTAAAATAGTAAAAACGAAACACCCCTGGATGGAGATTCAAGATGCTAATGCGACAGGTGATGTATGAACAAGCATGCTGTGCATGGGCACCGAGAGGACTGCCCAGAACATGCTTACTAGTATAGTAACGCCTCTCCCAACTCGTTGTGAATAATCATGTAAAACCCCCGTAAAGGAAGTCTCCCAGCAATAATCAATGCTGTCTTTTCCTTACAAGCAGCCTGCCCTGAATCCCCTCTCTCTCAGGGTGTCCTGTCCTTTCTATACCTAACTTTCAAAATGTTCTTTTTCCTCTGCAATAAATTATACTGCACCTCCCCTTTGCTGTGTGTCTCTTGTTTAAATTCTTTTAAACTAAGAAGATAAGAACTGAGATCTCACAACAGCTGTCAACAGCTGGGCAAGATGGCAAGACCCCATCTCTACAAAAAAAATGAAAAATTAGCTGGCTGTGGGGGCATGCACCGGTAGTCTCTGCCACTTGGGATTCTGAGGTGGGAGGATCCCTTGAGCACAAGAGTTCAAGGATGCAGTGAGCTGTGATGGCACTACTGCCCTCCAGCCTAGGTGAGTAAGTGAGACCCTGTGTCAAGAAAAAAATAGCTGGGCACAGTGGCTCACGCTTATAATCCCAGCACTTTGGGAGGCCAAGGTGGGTGGATCACAAGGTCAGGAGTTCAAGCCCAGCCAATATGGTGAAACTTTGTTTCTACTAAAAAACATAAAAATTAGCTGGGCATGTTGGCATATGCCTGTAGTTCCAGCTACTCAAGAGGCTGAGGCAGGAGAATCTTTTTGCTGGTGGAGGGTCTTGCCTCAATGCTGACAGCTGCTTGACTGGTCAGGCTAGAGGTTGTTGAAGGTTGAGGTGGCTGTGGCAGTCTTTTTGTTGTTGTTGTTGTTGTTTGTTTTTTGAGTCTTGCTGTCACCCAGGCTGAAGTGCAGTGGTGCGATCAACCTTGGCTCACTGCAACCCCCGTCTCCTGGGTTCAAGCAATTCTCCTGCCTCAGCCTCCCAAGTAGCTGAGATTACAGGCATGCGCCACCATGCCTAGCAAATTTTTTTATTTTTAATAGAGATGGTGTTTTATCATGTTGGCCAGGCTGGTCTTGAACTTCTGACCTCAGGTGATCCACCCTCCTCAGCCTCCCAAAGTGCTGGGATTACAGGTGTGAACCACTGCTCCCAGCCGCAACTTCTTAAGACAACAGTGAAGTTTATCACTTTGCTTGCCTTTCCTTTCACAAAAGATTTCCCTATAGCATATGGTATTACTTGATAGCATTTTACCCACGGTAGAACTTCTTTAAAAACCGGAACCAATTTTCTCAAACCCTGCCGCTGCTTCACTAAATTTCTTCTTTCTTTCTTTCTTCTTTCTTTCTTTCTTTCTTTCTCTTTCCTTCCTTCCTTCCTTCTCTTTCTCTCTGTTTCCCTCCCTCCCTCCGTCCCTCTCTCCCTTCCTTCCTTCCTTCTTCCTTCCTTTTTTTCTTTCTTTCCTTATTTTGAGTCAGTCTCGCTCTGTCACCCAACCTGTAGTTCAGTGGCACGACTTCCACTCACTACAACCTCCGCCTCCTGGGTTCAAGTGGTTCTTGTGCCTCAGCCTCCCGAGCAGCTGGGATTATAAGCATGCACCATCACGCCCAGCTAATTTTTGTATTTTTAGTAGAGACAGGGTTTCCTCATGTTGACCAGACTGGTCTTGAGCTC